ACAAATAATTTGAAAATGTTGGAAGTGGCTTGTTCTAGCCCCATTTTACAAATACGTTAAGGTAAGAAGTTCAGAGATTCGGTGGAATAAAAAACACCTTGTGGAAATGATTCCCTAGTCCTGTACTTTTAACTACTAGCCAAAATTGCCACTCTGCCTCCATTGGCTTCTACTATACATGGAAGCTAGTACAGAAGAGCTCATGCTGTGCTATAGTTGAGTTTTTTCATCGCTTTCTGGTTTATGTCAGCTATTCTTAATGCTCTAAAATTAGTATCCCTATCCAGATTTTTTTTGAAATTTGGAGTTATTAGTCCAAGTTTAGGGTCAGTTGAACAAGGAGCTCCTACAGTATTATCCCCTAAACAAACCCAGCATTTCACAAAATCATTGGTTCTTCTGTTTTGCAATATTGGGAGCTGAAACTAACACTGTAATCATCCTCCAAATGAATAAGTAATTTGTGAAGGATGTAACAGAAGAGAGGGAGCAGCATCTGAGCTGCAATAGGGGAATCTGAATGGTTGGAGGGATTATGGCAGGTCAGCACAAGGAGACGGAATTTTGGACCAATGCAGGGAAAAGGGAAATGGAAAGTAGGGCATAAGAGCTGTGCAGTAGGAGCTGTTGGGGTGACTTCAATTCTGTCCTCTTCAAGACCCCACATCCATCCATCAGTGATAGGTACTTATCTGCCTCCTTTCCCAGCACTGTAATATGCGAGTATCTCAAAGTTGTCAATGTATTATCTTCACAACAGCTCTGTGAGGAAAAGGAGTGTTATTCTCATGTTATAAATGAAGAGCTGAGATACGCAGAAATAAATGGCTTGTCTACATGGGTAACTGTATTGGTATTAGATGAGATGTAACTTTATACTGCTATGTTTACCAGTATTATCTCCCTGTGTAGACATTCTTATTCTGGTGCAAGAGTGCCTTTCTCCAATTTATGCATCTGATGAAGTGGGTCTTTGCCCATGAAAGCTTATGCTTCAATAAATCTGTTAGTCTATAAGGTGCCACAGGACTTCTCATTGTTTCTCCAATTTAGGCAATGTTGCTTTGAAAATGGATATAAGAAATAAGAGAAAGGAAAAAAAAGACTCTTACTGAGAAATAAATGTCCACTGAGAGTGTTATAGAGATATTATATCATTGCTATAACTTCCTTTATAGATAAAACCTAAGTGATTTACCCAAGGTCTAGGGAATTGTACCCAGATTCTCCCATGTTCCAGGTTAGTATCCTAACCACAGGACACTCCTTCCTCGGATGTGATCTCATGTTCATCTCTCTTCAAAAATATCTTCACTGACTCCATGTGAGTTCCTGGACTGTTTTTATGTCCTCAACATGCAAGTCCCATGTTGATGCCTGCTTCTCCATGGGCAGGAGGAAGGAGAATCAGGTTGCGCTTGACAGGCAGATGACAGGAGCTAAAGAGTTGATGCAAGGGACAAACATTCAACTATTACATTCTGTGTCTAAGATAATCAGTGGCAAAGAGCCAGATGGAGCAAGGATCAGTGGAAGAGGAAACTGGGATGTGGTATGTGCAGATATTGAGAAAATATTTTCTCAAAAACAAGGAAATTAAATGCCCCAAAACTTTATTAACATAGTTACGGTTGCATAGTAGAGCTTTGTGGAGCTTTGTGGCTAAACTTAAACTTCTGAAAACCAGGAAATAAAAGTTAAGGCTCACACCAGCATCACAACTTTAATTTTGCTCTTGTTAGTAATAGCTCTCTGTCCTCACAGATGCTACAGAATACATTAAGAATGAAATGTGCACTGAAGGACAAAGTCTAACACCTTCTGTGTGCTAACGCAAAACTCAGGTTTACGTCAGAAGTAGCAACAGGAGCTATCTGCAACTGGCCTACATTCAGACATTAACCTTAATATATGTAAACAATCGAAGACTCACTAAATATTATCATCCTTTTACCTTTGCGCTGAGTATTTCTTCTGAAATGTTGCCTTTACTTTCCCCTCATTAAGCCGTGGTATTTACTCAACAAACTGCTATTAATCCCCAAGGCAAGAAGACCCATTAGGCAATTCTACTGACATAGTCTACAAAACTCAGTGCTGAAATTAGACATACTTGATCCTGTCAGATCCATATGTATATATCCTCATGTTGTGGCTCTGCAAGGCTGCTTCTACAAATCCTGTATCCATATAATGTCTTTATTTTAAAATGTGAAGATTCCTAAGTGTTAAGTATCTTGGTAAAATTGTGACATTTTTATTAAGCTTGTTTTTATCGATAAAATATATTGTAGTGAATAAATATTAAAAAAGGATTAAAGTGCATGGTAACTAATACCATATAAAGATTTCATCACTGTATTCAAGTCAATTTCAAAATTTAAATGGAGTTTCAGATAATTCACCCTATTGCCTTCTGCCAATTTTTGTAGTTTTAAAAATCTTTTCTAAAGAAAACTGCAAAATGTTTCCCCCTCCCTTACTATACTGTTCACAAAGGCATACAAACTAGAGGAAAAAGTGATTGTGCAGTTAATAAAATTAACTATACACTAAGTCCTCTTAAATGCAAAAACATAAACTGAAAACATTCCTCAAATTTTAATGTTTGATGTTTTAGGAAATAACTATCAAACATATGTGATTTTAAGTTGTTTGTCCCTTTACGTTTTTGTAAGTATCTATACCTTTAAAGCAGAGCAAAATTGTTAACATGTGTTTTGTAGACTAATGCTTGTTACCCTTAGATTAATTTTGTATGAATAAGCTTGGATTTTCCAAGTGTTTCTATATGAACCTGAATAAACTAGACTGTATTTTTAATAATGTCAACTCTTAAGAGAATTTTGTGAGAGACGAGTCTTATAGAATAGACCATCTCCTGGTAAATGCAAGAAGAAAGAAAATACTAAAGGCTGAGTTGCAGAAACATGCAAAATTAAGAAGCTTACTACTGTAGGAGGGGCCCCTAAAGTGATATATGCATGAACTGTTAATAGATGTCTAGACCACAGATCAAGTCTGAATCTTGCACTGGCCATGATTGAAACCTATAGCGCAAGCTGGTCATTTACAACCCTCACCTGCTGAGAAAAATATGCATATAGAAAAGATACTTTTGGAAACACCATGGGAGAAGCGAAAATTTTACTGGTGACCGCTAGAGGGTTTTAAAAAATTGGTTTTTATCCCGTTTTGTTGTTTTGTGCTTCATGAAGGTCTGAGAGAAATTTGGCAGAAAGATGGGAGGTTTTTCACACTAAAAACTCAAACTGTCTACACCTTGGAAGATGCTAGCAGTTCAAGAATTAGTGGATGTATAACATCTCAAGAGATTGAAAGCTGAACCATTGAAAACTATTGGATTTTTAGTTGAACTATTTTAATCTTTTTCATTTGTTTTTGTACCTATTTAACACTAACTGACATTGGGGAAATTTGATGTAATCTCTTTTTCACTGAAAATATAGTAATTCTGCAAAGCCAGGGAAGACCAGAATTGATTTTGATAAATGTAAAATGTTTTTAAGCGGTAAAGGAAAAACATAAATATTAAAATAATGATGATCTAAGCTTTCTTTATACATCATAAACAAAAATAAACTAGGTATTTTAGATGATGGTTTTGTCATGCCAGCTGTACAAACCATTAGTAACTGAGGATCATAACTAATCCATCTCCTTTTTTTATTTACTAAAGCATTCTATCTTACTAACCATTACTATTATGGATACAAATTTTCATAATGAATACAAAGACTAAAAAATGACATCAAGATACATGTCTGACTATTAAGCTGTCTGATCTTTATGCAGCTCTTGTTCTCCTTGTCTCTTGCCACCCCTTGTCTTCCTTCCATAGTTGCTTTTTGTCATGCCTTTATTTAGGCCACAATTCTCTAAAGACTTATGCACAACCTTTTGCATTATGGAGGTGGTGAAGCACTGAAATGGGTTACTTAGGGAGGTGGTGGAATCTCCATCCCTTGATGTTTTTAAATCCTGGTTTGACAAAGCCCTTGCTGGGACAATTTAGTTGGGATTGGTCCTCCTTTTAGCAGAGTGTTGGACTCGACCTCCTGAGGTCTCATTCTGTGAATAGTCTCATTAATGTCAGTGGGACTACTCAGTGCTAAAAAGTCTGTGCAGGATTGGAGCCTTAGAACCAGTGCCGAAGCATTACAATTGGTCTTTGAACTAACTTGGTTTTTCTCATTTATGGCTAAGCAATATGCACGTGACCCTCCCCATTGTAGATTAATTTCTGTATGAGAATGTGTTATGACAATGATGTGATGCTGCATGATTTCTCTGGGACTGTAAGGAATATTCATAGAAAATAGTGTATTCTTATTTGTTGTTGCTTTTTATTTGGTATGTAATCAGTTGCTTTAATTTTTTAAGTGTTTCTGATAAGCTTAAGAAAAGAGCAATAAAAATGAACCCCATAACCCCCCCCCCACACACACACACACACAGCTGTATTCCCATATAGGAAACAATTGAGGGTAACAGACTTTTAAGATCTGATTGCTTTTGTTTCCACCTGCTGATAAAGTAAAGTAACCCTTTACTGTGCACTGGAAAAGGAGATGTTGCAGAATAGGTAGAAATATGATCACAAGGTACATTGAATCTCAAGTCTGCCTATTTTTTAAAAACATTTTTGCAAATTCAGAGAACAAACTGAAGGAAGGCCCTTAGCAGGAGTGGGGGAAGTGTACGTAAAGGTTGTTGGTTGAATTTATATCACATGTATTCTGGTAAACATTTAAAAATGTACATTTGTAAGAGATGTGTAGTATGATAATTTAATTGTAAATTTGATAAAATATGAAACTTTAGACAGAGGACTTTGACCTCAGATACTTTTAATAATATCTAACTGCAGGATATTTAGCAGATGTTCTATTAGAATTAGTCCTGAGAGGGGACTACAGCTGTGGGCCCTTACTGTTATCTTCAGATTCATATTTACTCTTCTTACTCTTCATTAATAGGTAGCATAGATCAGTCAGTGTTAAAGGAGTTGCCTCCTGAGCTCCTGGCAGAAATTGAATCCACCATGCCACTTTGTGAACGTGTGAAAATGAACAAGCGCAAACGTAGCACAGTTAATGAGAAACCAAAATATGCTGAGATCAGTTCTGATGAAGACAATGGCAGTGAAGAAGCTTTTGAATGTAAGTAGTACATCATTCTATTCTATTGCTCATGCTAAAAGGTTTCTTAGCTGACTAGTCAAAACAATGCAGGTACAAGTTAAGTTTGGGGGTCCAGTTAATTTGTTGACAGAGTAACTTATTTTAAAGAAAAATGACTAACCCTAAGTTTACCACACAAGATAAATAGATTGCTAGTTAGACTCCTCTTGCCAAGCCTACCTGTTTGAAGAATATATTTTTCACTTATGCTACAGGATACTTTTAGACTCAGTTAAAAAAAAACACTAAGTTTTACATGGGTAATCTGTATATATAAAAAAGTTTTTTCCTGCCAGGTGACAGAATGACATCATCATGTCATCAGCGTCAACAGGTTCTCTCAGCAAAGTGAAAGTGGCCAGAGAGAGGGGCGTAGACGAGCATAGCGAGTAAAGGTTGCAGCCTCCAAGTATTCTATATGAAAATGTTAGAAAAATAATTGTGACCACACACTTCAGCATTGAATATCTGTAATTATGCTTCCCTCACTACATGTACTTTACTTCTAGTGTAATTTTTGCAGTCAGGGATCTCAAACTCCCAGTGCTGTAGCACAATGCTATGTATTATTACCTTAAAAACTAGTTTAGTAAATGTTCATGTCTCCTCCATGTCTACCCAGCTGAACTGGGGAATATTTCCCTTCTTCCTGGAGCACTGAAGGCAGACTACTGAACTTGTATGTATACAGGGGCTAGATCAGTAAGAGGTCCGAAATTCAGCATAACAAGCAACTCTCCTTGTAATGTGGCCTTAGAAATATTTTCAAGAAAGGAACTCGCAGAAACCAATCTGTCAGTTTTTCTAACTGGAAACACAAGAAAACAAAACAATGGAGATTCTTGGGCTCCTTTTCCTCATTAGTTTTCTCAGACACATTTTTTCTGATTGCCTCAACCTATGTGGGTGAAGGATATTATTGCTTCAACAAATCAAAATTACTTCTAGTTCTAACAGTTTTCAAGATAACCTTTGAAATCAGCACTGAATAGAAGTGATTTC